AATTTCAAGTGTATCTTTTTTCCAACTGGCTCACAGATTAAAACCAACGTCCTTCAAAGAGAAAACACATATCCTGAACATTAAATGAATAATCCAATATTTTCCGATGGCTCTGTGCAGGCCGGTTTTAATACTCCTCAAATATCCTCCCGGGGCCCAGATAATTCATTTATGGGCCCTGCTTTATCTTTTCACTCCATGTGTTTCTTTGTGCTTCTCCAGTCACTGACTCAGTGGCAACAGTTTGTTTCAGTCCCTGACTTTGTGATTTATGTCACATTGTTTCCTTCTAAACCTTTTAACAACATATGATCATTTTTTGAAACTGCATGCAGACGTTTAAACCGACTTGAACAGAGCTGAACGTCCATGAACACTAAAGAAATAAAACATCCTCGTCCCACTGCTGAAATAGTGTTTTTTTATGATGTGTTCTCACAATAATTTCCTCAAGTCAGAGTATAGCAAAAAAATAAAAATAATAAGTAATTTCTAGTAAATAAGTAATATTTAATTCTATAACATTTATGTAGTATAAAGATATGTGTATAAAAAGACTTTATATAATATAACTTCAATGAATTTTGTGTTTTGACGTTTAGGAATACATGTATTTTGACATGTTAAGGTATACAAAGTTTTAGTCATAAAATGATTTTATTATATCGGTGGCAACTTACAAGACACACAGCAGACAACTGACAACACTGAAAATGTTTAGTAGCATTTATGTAAAATCCACTCAAGTGGAACAAAAAGCTACAAAATTAGCCCTTTCAAGCTGCGGGTACTTAGAAGCTATTTTCTTTCATATTTACAAAATGGAAGAGAAAATGTTGTAAACAACGTAGCTCCACAACGGTATTTCTTTGAAAGATGATACTCAGTCCATTTAAAATTTCATTTTTAAGTTAATTATATGAAGATGAATAATTTGCAAAAGTATGTGGGTCTGTGTACTTTTGCGTTCAATACATTTTCTACCAACATTTTTGTATATTGTCGTGCGTATATATGAAACGTAAAAGTACACCAAAAACCTTAAGAAAAACCAACCATAACATCAGAAACAAAAATTATGAAAAGGATTATTAGTACTCAGCCTTTGGATTTGGTCAGGTACAACCCCATGGCTAATTCAATCTGAAGAGACCAAAGACACAATTAATACAATAAATTATTTATTTATTTGGCGCATTGACCCCGGCAGCGACACTTGCAGCGATGAGATCGATTGCAGCTGAAGATGATCTCAGATCCCCCCGGGGTCAATCACTGGTGGCGGCTAGAGTATGGTGTGAATGGGGCGTAGGCGGAGCAGGAGCCAGAGCCAGAGCAGGAGCCTAGAGCCAGAGCCAGAGCAGGAGCCAGAGGAGGTGCTGGGGAGGTGGTGGGTGTTTAAGAGCCTCAGGAAGCGCTGCTTGTCAGGAAGTGGCTGCCTTTTAAACTGCCCGCTTTGCTGTGAGAGGGTTGGCAGGAGGCTGGCCAGGCTGTGTGATTGGCTGAGGCTCGAGGCTGGCAGAGCTGTGTGATTTTTAGGCTTGGAAGGGGGAATTTGCAATCGGTCTTTCAGTCTGAATATCCGCTTCAGCTTTATAACAGTTTATGGGCACAACCCGGTATTATAACTTATTGCAAAAGAAACTTGCGAAACAGCAAACGTTCCAGGGCTCGCAAGCCAAAGTGGTTCTCAGGTCAGAGAGTGTAAAATGTTCGAGGCCAAAAACGACATTTTGAAAGATGGATTTTAATACATTAGGTTCATTTTTTTGTGGTCTGAAAGTTAAGTACCAAAAATGTATGTAAAAACTTTACATTTTGATTTATCTGTATGGCGAATCATGGATGACAGTTGCTCTGCATCCAAAACTGGCACTTCTAAGAGATGCTCAAATAAATACATTGGGTAACATGTGGAGCAATGTTGATACTTAATTGTTGAGTATATCACATAATTCTGTCTTTTGCACAATCTTGAGTGATTCTATCCATGCCAAATGTGACAAGTAAATTTCTCCTGAGTGAGATCAATAAAGTCTATCTTATCTTATCTTATAATGTAGACTGCAGCTTCGCGATCGGCCACAAGGGGACCCAATAACCCCACAAATCTCTGCGTCCCGCAGTGTTATAATCCTAGCCGTCTGTTTAATCAGATTTAACCATGGCTGTAGATCTAATAATGATTCTGACAGTGCTACACAGAGCCATTAACAGATGGTAGGTGCTTTGGTGCTGTCTGTAATTAGCAGTCCTGCCCATGCGCGCATTAGAATAATTAGATGGACCATGTAAAAATAGTGACCAGTGATAGTAGGAAGAAATGGAGATGGGTCAACATGTCACTGTCTGACACTTTACTATTTAAAAACTAAAAGAATGTATTTACTTAGATAATTTAAAAAGCCATTATATTAGATCATATATAAAATAATTAAGTACATGTCCAATCGTGGGACGAACAAAAAACTTACAGCTTCCTTCATTAACTGCATTTTAAAAAATGTAAATTAAAAGGGTATACCTAAACTTGCACTGTAAAGAATTGAAGAATTGAAGCTCTCTGCCCAAAGAGTGCACTGTGACTCACATATTTGTTAATGTTAACCACAAAGAAATACCTTTAAAAGTTGCATCCACATCAAATACAATTGTCTTGGTCTTGGCTTGTATTTACTGATGCGTTTATTGTCTTTCTTCAAAATAACTACATTGAATTAATCACATTTTCCGAATTGATGTTGAACACTTTATAAACACAGTTTCAGAGTAAAATACTTCAAATAATTAGTTTTCAGAGCAACACATTTCATTCAATAACATTTCATTTTCAAATTCTGATGGAAGAGATTATAATTCGGAGAGGGAGTTGAAGAGCATTGGCTTTTGAGCCTGAAAGTTGTTCGAGCTCACCACAACACCTTCTCCAGCAACTCCCAGTGATATCTGCTGTCATTGTGTCCTTGGGCAAGACACTTAAACCCACTCTGTCTGAAGCCCCTGTTGAAATATCAGGGCCGAGCAGCCCTCCTCCTGTGGACTCACCACCTGCAGGAGGTTCAGTGAGGGGCTGGTCCTCTGTGAATTCCCAAACCTATAAATGGATTAGGGGGAAGAAGATGGATGGATGGAGATTATTTTTAATAAATCTTCCTGTTGAGAAAAACTACATTTTTATGAAGAAAAAGTGAATACTCCAGATTAATGCATAAATCAACAAAAGAACAATCAAATAAACAACTTTTTGTGAATCCTTTCGCTGTAAACAGACAGCAGGGGGTGCTCATGGGCACGTGCACTCAGCGCGAGAGACGCTGCTGTAGATCCTGTCAGTGCGCGCAATGAAGAGAGGGGTGCACAGGAAACGCCCTGTCAGAATAAAACTGCAGTTTAAATTCAAGAGCATTTCTTCAACTCTCCTTGACTGTCCAAACCATGTGCTTATACATACTGTACCATATATACAAGGTGATACAGGTAAAACCTTTGTAAAATAACATTTGAGACATCAAAACAGTGGCTGGGGGCAACAGTGGCTCAGTTAAGCATTGGCCTTTGAACTTGAAGGTTGTGGGTTGGAGCCCACCACGAGACCCTCTCCACGGACTTCCACTGATGCTGTCGTTGTGTCATTGGGCAAGACATTTAACCCCACGTTGCCTGGAGCCCGCTGAAAGATCAAGGCTGTACCGTCACTGCCTTCCACCTGTGGACTCTCCACCTGCATCAATCCAGGTACAAAGGGATATAAAATGTGATGAGAGAGTAAAGGGTTAGGAGGACATACATTTAGTTTATGTGTTGAGAAACTGTGTGATTTGCGTATGTGAAATGTTCTATATAATAAACAATTTTAGCCATATTGAAGGTATTGTAAAAGGTCATTTGTAAACATTGTTTTTCCAAAGTTAAATTTAAACCTATGCTTAGACAATACAAATGAGCCGTTAATGTGCCTTGAGATTTTGCGTTTTTGTTGTTGAAACAAATACTATTTTTTTCTTGGTGCTTACTTGTTTGACAATACTCTACATTATTATGAGACGTGGTTATTTGGTTGGAACATTGTGTATTAATGAAAAGCAATATACTCGTGATGAAAGCATTTAGCTATTGTCCATCTGTTGTCCCACAATTACACTCACAAACACACTTTCTTTCACCAAGAATAAAACTAGAGAGTTTCATTTTTAAAACTGCTTTAGACTAACTGTTGTTTTGCATTTCTTCTTTTTTTTTACACTTATGACACAATTAACAGCAACAACAGCAGACATACAATTTAAGAACATGAAGTGTGTGAGTGATGTTTGCATGAGTGCAGGTTTACGTGTGATTATTACTTAGACTCAACAGCTCCGCTTTTATTTTGTCAACGCGCCTGTTCCGCTCAGCTCCGATGCGTACGCGTCTCTTCCACTCCACCTTTACGATCCTTTTCGGGCACAGAAAGCACTTTGTCTCGGCACAGCGGAGCGGAGGGGGTGCTGACAGCGGGCCGAGGTGATGGTGGCCGTGGGTGCATAGGTGGAGCAGACTTTGCTTTACGCACTGGGTCTATGACCAGCACCATCGCATTTCAGTGGCGCGCACATTGATATTCGGAGCGGCCTGCAATCGGACCGGAACGTGTATTCAGGTGGCCCCGCATACCCACTCGTACTTTGGGGGGGATGCAGCAGGACTAGCAGCAGCAGCAGCAGCAGCAGCAGCAGCAGCAGCAGCAACATACTGGGGTAATTGCTTCAGAAACGATGGTGTTGGGGATGGTAACGTGCCAGCGCCTCGTGCAAATCTCAGACCCCACTCCATTTTACGCATCATCTAACGGATTTCCTCAAGACCATAACAACTCCATTCAAACATTCAAACTGCGTTCCTTATTAGATGAACCCTTCATACGGGACCAGGCTGCGAATTTCTGGGGCTCTTCTGTGATTGCCCACGCTCCCCACCCTCAGCTCGTCCTGCGTAAAGATAAAACTGCGCTTTAGAGGAAGATGTTGCTGCGATGCTACCGAGGGAAGCTGTCGGTGTGGGCCGCCCTGTGCCTGCTGGTGCTGTGCTGGTTCTACGTGTACCCGGTGTACAGGCTCCCGCGCGACAAGGACGTAACGGAGGAAGTGCTGAGGCAGGGAGACGCGTGGACCAAGAACCAGACCGGCATCGATCTGTTCAGGTGGGTTCGTGTGCGAGGTTGTGCGGGAGGGGTAGGTGGTGGTGGCCCCGCGGATCAGTGCACTGCGGTGGGTTGGTGTGTGTGCCATGGCGTTTATACGGTGGGGGCCCCCCATATGCGTGACAAAGAGCCAAGAGGGACCTCTTTGTGATGCGTTTGACAAAAAGGGGGCTTTTTCAAGATTTGTCTCAAGAATAAAATGAATTGTAGTTGACAAACAAAGACTTTCTCCACAGTCATTGAGCTATAGAGTCATGTTGCAATTATTATTTTTTCACAATGAGATTTCATAATGCACATTATGAGCTACTATCATGTCATAGTGGTAGGGGAAACTGGAGCACCCAAACCTATATTAGAAAAACTCACTAAAGGATGTACCAACAATGATTCTAATAAACTTGTTGCTGCTGCCTGCACTGCAAAAAACAAAAACAAAAAAACAAAAACAGGTGTAATAGACATATATTTTGTAGAGTAGTTTGTATTGAATTGAGAAAAGTGGAGAAAACGTGTATTTTCACAAACCTGACTCATACTGGTCCATAGAGCCTAGAGGAGGGCGGTGGTCTTTCGCTTTAGAATTATCTATTCTGTTTTTAAAGTATTATCAGTTTTCAAGAGTATTATATGATTGTTTCTGGCCATTACATCTATAATTACTTTTTTAAAGTTCCAACCGGCCCTGCCTGTTACACCACATTGTGAAAGTATTCCTGTATTACCTAATTTCAAAGTTATAGAGTTAGGTCACGTTTGCTCCATTTCCCTATTCCATTCTAAGCTATTTGCGTTGATCCAAACCTACATCTGTCCATATCTAACTGACTACATCTTTGGTGACGTAGAAGGATTCATCTAAACAAGGTAAACATGATTGACAATTGTGAGTAGGCATCTTAAAAAATGTATAAAATTTTGTAAAACTAATAGCCCATAGGAAAAGAAAAGACCAGATTGAAACAAGAGCAACTTATTTTTTGTCATTTACTTGGAGAGAGCTGTGTTTCGATTGACTTAACCGGCTGTAAGAGATACTACTATTACACATTTGTGATCAGCTTTCGTTGGCAAATGAAATCCTTAATCGACGTATGCCAATTTTACATTTGATTATCTCTATTGTCAATGAAAAAGTGTGGGTTCTCTTTAGGGATGACCTGCAGGTTATGAAGGGGTAAAAGATGGTTGGACCTAGAGATATTTTTTTTCCTCAGCAGGTGATGGATAATTCTGATCAAATATTGAATAATTACTTTTCTCTAACTGAATTGCATATGATTATTGTATGTGTTGAGTAGAGCATGTTTCTTTGGAGTCACTAACCAGATTCAGCTAAACTCATGGCAGGCTTTGTCAGTAACTGCATTACTATGAATTTGGGCTATTATGTAGCCAACTCAGGGACTGAAATAGACACTCAACAAGGTACAAGAGATTAGGGTTAAATTAGCTAAATTTGTATAACACACATACATAGCTTTGTAAATACACTCTAACAACACAAATTGGTTAAAACAACAAAATAACTGGTGAAATGTATTCAACCACTCCAACAGATTTCTGATGAAAACAAACAATCTGTAACATGTTGTGTTTTCGACCAATCCACATTAACAGCGGTAAGGGTTTGGTCATTCTGACCAAAATATTGGTTCGCCGACCACCACTCATGCATGCACCCTACGGACTCCAAGGCAATGTGGTCTCTCATCCCATTACAAACTAGGCCTTGCCATGCTTTGCTTTGTAGATAAGGTCTGGTATAAAATTGGTCAATCCATTGGTAAATCCATTGTATTTAAAACAATGTCTTGTTATAGTGTATGTGTGTATAATATAACATGTATATAGTTTTTACACTGCAGAAACATCTCATACAAGATTTTTTTCCCGCCATACAGTGCCTCTTGAAAGTATTAATACAGCTGGAACTGAATGTTCAATCACAAGTACCAGACAATTGTGAAGTGAAAGAAAAAATATATATGAATCCGACAACTAACAAATCGAACATGCACAAGTATTCAATCAGCAAAGTTAATTCTTTGTGGAACCCCCTTTTGCTGCAATAACAGCAGCAAATCTGTTGGGTACATCTAGAGACAGCGAGAGGAGAAGAGGTGAAAACACACACCCCAGTTTTTGATTTGAACTCCACTTCAGTCTCAGACTGTTACTGCTTCATTCAAGCTGAGATTTTATTTGAATCAAACCGCGGCATGTTGTGGTTTGATTTATTTATAAAATGTTACTTTTATGAATAATTGCTGTTGGGATAAACAACATTATTATTATATAATCTATTGAACTAAAAGTTCATGTTTAGCAGCTTTAAAGGAGACATATGCAAAATAATCTTTTTGAGCTTTTAACCATCTTACAACTTTGCTCCATATCAAAAACAGACCTGGTGTTTTTAGATCCACCCACGCTATTACAATGACAAAGTAAATAGTGTCTTCTTGATGTTTAATGGACATTCTTTTAGTAACGTAGTCTCCTCTACTTCCTCTGCATTAAAATAGTGCATGACCATGCGCTGTCCACATGTCTAACTTCCTGTCTGCTGTGGGCCTGACAGGAAGTTGCTGACCGAATGCTGTGACCCTGGAAGGATGTTTGCCGTGACCAAGGAGAACTCCCCCCTGGGCAAGGTGCTGTGGTACGATGGAGAGTTCTACCACTCGCACACGGTTAACAACGAAACCTACTCACTGTTTGTGCAGGTGAGACCATGACCCTTCCACTGCTCCGCCACAGTCATATAGAAAGTCGGCCAAACTAGGACCAAGCACTGCAAACAGAACATGTTAAAAGTGCTATAGATATCACATTTGTAAAGGGCGGCACAGTGTTAAACACTCTGCTAAACGAAAAACATAAATGTATAACTGTGTGTCACTTTGAAGCATTTTTGTGTATGTAAAACAACACAACATTTAACCAGAATAGAATAAGTCTGCAGTACCAAGCATGCCTTTAACTTTTCTATATCACAAAAACAGTTGTCTCCAAGGTAGACACAACATTTATGATTTGACAACACGAAACAAAATCAATTAGAATCACACAGATTTGAAAATTGATGTAACAAAACAGACATAATCTTTGATGAGTCACGGAGACAAAACCGATTTGCAATGTTTGTTTGAGCAAATTGATACTGTCTCGGAGAAACTCATCCTTATTTGCAAAGTTAACCTGATAAAGGAGGCCAGGACTGAGACTGTAGTCCCGGACTGAGACTGTAGTCCAGGACTGAGGCTGTAGTCCAGGACTGAGGCTGTAGTCCAGGACTGAGACTGTAGTCCCGGACTGAGACTGTCGTCCAGGACCGAGGCTGTAATCCCGGACTGAGACTGTAGTCCAGGACTGAGGCTGTAGTCCCGGACTGAAACTGTAGTCCCGGACTGAGACTGTAGTCCAGGACTGAGGCTGTAATCCCGGACTGAGACTGTAGTCCAGGACTGAGGCTGTAATCCCGGACTGAGACTGTAGTCCAGGACTGAGGCTGTAATCCCGGACTGAGACTGTAGTCCAGGACTGAGGCTGTAGTCCAGGACTGAGGCTGTAGTCCCGGACTGAGACTGTAGTCCAGGACTGAGGCTGTAGTCCAGCACTGATACTGTAGTCCAGGCTAATCTAGAGAAGGAAAAGGGCACCCATTGATTTAATCACTGGGTGATGTAGCCCATGTGTCCAGGCCACACATGGCTCAGGGACTTGACCACAGTTCCCGGCCAAGGGGTAAATAGCAATGAAGAGACTACTGGTGAAAGTCCTGGATAATGATGGCAGGTAAAGAAGAGTGTTCAAGTTACCATACTTCCACCAGCAGTGGAAGTGTCTCCTCGAATGTCTCTTAAAGCAGTGTGAATATTTTCATACATAGAAGAAATAATGTCACAAAATGTTATGTATGTATAGACAGCAGTCATAGCTTGGTTTAAAAGTGTAGACAAAAAGGCTTTTCCCCCAGACCAGCTCTTATTTGACAATATCAAGGAGAAGAGAGCCCTGATCTAGAGTCCACAGAAGAGCCCGGAGCCTTTTGTGCATCTGTGCACCATAACGAGGCCCAGATGAAGGAAATGCTTTATGCTGCACTCAGCAGAATATGACACTCCGGAGACTTGGAGCTTTTCTCCGGCAGATGGACAGGACATGTGTAGAGAGACGTCAATACTGGGAGTGTCCTGTACTACAACGGCTCGTCTGCATGTAAATAAATATATTCCTATGCAAAGGAAATACTGCACATCATTTGCTAAAACAACGTAATGAAATATGTATCTATTGTTTTACTACTTCACCAAAGTGAATAAATATGAATGATTGTCTGATGAAAGAAACAGCAGTGTGAATAAATAAGACATTTCGTGGTTTGGCAATAGAGACATTAAAGTTGTACATGGCACAATGCTTTTTATGTCATAGAGTTGCTTTTTTTCTATAAGTTAAAAAAAAAGATTTGGTGATTTATTTATGTTTTTAAAAGCACTGCTATTATTGTTTTTGTATGTTTCCAAGCGTTAAACAAATAATAAATAAAGTGGAAAAATTACCCACTGAACCTCAAACCAAGACAGACAGAGAGCCGCTTTATACGTAGCATATGCGTTGATTTAAACCATGACTGAACGTGGTCCGGAAAGGGATGACCGCAGGTCTGGAACTATAGGACTAAACCATACAATTGCATGGCTGGATTTGTAGTTGGTATTTATAAAGCCAAATTCAACTCCACAGGTGTTGCAGCCGGAAAGCGATTTTGTTTCATCATATTTTTCTACTTGAAGGCATTTCTGATATTTTTGCAAGTCCAGCCTCTTTGAAAAAAACATATTGTTTTCCACTACCACTGTCTATTACCTAGTTTTATTTCGGTCCTCTACTCTCTTCACCTTCTCAGCTTCCTGAGATAAAAAATGTGATATTGGCAGAAAGTGTGATGAGCGATGGAGGTGTGGCTGCGATAACAATGTATATTGACATATTTTCTTATCCCCAAATTAAGTATATTTGATTGAAACCAATAATTTATTTCTTTGAATTGAAGGTTAAATACATCTAAATTTCAGTCACAACAGGTGTAAATGAGCTTATACATGCTAAAAAATTTGTTTAAATGTTGTAAAATAAAATAAAAATAAAAATTTAGGTAAAATGGAAGTAAGACCTCATTAGCTGAAAGAACAACAATACAAATTTGTACAAACATCTCCCTAAATACATAATTTTTTTTCATAATTTAGATAAGTAAAAACTCATCATCCCTTTTAGCCAGAAATAATGCATATAAATTCTTGTAGCATTTTTAAGATACCGCATTAAATAACGCAAGTCCTGTTTCCCTGTGGCGTTACCATGGCGTCCATAACCACAGACATAACATTTGCCTGATGGTGAGAGTCGTTTATTATTTCCTAATAGTGAGTTGTTGCAGCTGCGTCGGTGCATATCCTGCTTTGTGAAAATGTGATGAAAATCTGACCCTAATTTAAAGGCTTGAGTGTTGTACTGTATGTTCATTCAGGACGAGTGGGGGAGGTGTGGAGGGGGAAAGAAAGGAAAGAGCATGCTGGACTTTACATGGGTCTATATATAACTGAAAAATCATCATAGACATTGGGGGTATAGGCATTATTCACATTGCATTTGCTTCAGATAATGATGTTCACCAGGAAGAGGGAAGCGATACAGAATCAGCATTTATTTATTTATAATTACTGTATAGATAGATAAATACATAGAAAGAAAGAAAATTGATCACCCGTGGGAGAAATTCTGGTGTCTATTAGCAGCACAAACACATCTATCCATTCAAACAAAACAAATGAATAGATAATTCTAAAAATGGCTAACAATAGTCAACATTTTAGGTAGATAAAAGCAAGAAAAATAACAATTGTAAAGCACAAAACAACAACTGTTTCAGAGCTACCAAGGACTTTCTGCCGTTTCCATTGCATTCAAAAGCAATACAAATTGTCCTCTCACCTTTGGCCCTCCGCGGGCAGTTATCCCTCTCTAAGCTCGGGTCCTCTACCAGAGGCCTGGGAGCTTGAGGGTTCTGCGCAGTATCTTTGCTGTTCCTAGCACTGCACATTTCTGAATCGAGATGTCCGAGGTTGTTCCCGGGGATCCGCTGTAACCACTCCTCTAGCTTTGGGGTCACTGCCCCGAGTGCACCGATCACCACGGGCACTACTGTCACCTTTACCCTCCAGGCCCTCTCCAGCTCCTCTCTGAGACCTTGGTATTTCTCAAGCTTTTCGTGTTCTTTTTTCCTAATGTTGCCATCGCTTGGAATTCCCACGTCCACCACCACAGCTTTCATCTGCCCTTTGTCTACCACCACGAAGTCAGGTTGGTTCGCCATTACCATTCGGTCGGTCTGTATATGGAAGTCCCACAGGATCTTTGCACACTCATTCTCCATCACCTTTGGAGGAGTTTCCCACTTAGACCTTGGGGTTTCCAGCCCAAGGCAAGGCAAGGCAAGTTTATTTGTATAGCACAATTCATACACAAGGCAACTCAAAGTGCTGAACAAGATAGCATTAAAATCATAAATAATTACAGAACATTAAAACGAAAGATAAAAATATAAAATCCCTCAGTTATATGCACAGCTAAACAGCACCGTTTTTAACCTGGTTTTAAACATTGTCAGAGAGGAGGCCTGTCTCACATCTTCAGGAAGATTGTTCCAGATTTTAGCAGCATGAATCTGAAAAGCAGCCTCCCCATGTTTAGTTCTGACTCTGGGCACTAACAGGAGTCCAGTCCCTGTGCTCCTCAGAGTCCGGGCTGGTTCATATGGGACTAACATGTCACTAATATATTTTGGTGCGAGGCCATGGAGAGACTTGTACACAAGCAGAGCTGTTTTAAAGTCTATTCTCTGAGCCACAGGAAGCCAGTGCAGAGACCTGAGGACTGGACTAATGTGGTCGTACTTCCTGGTTCTAGTCAGGACTCGAACTGCTGCATTTTGAATGTACTGCAGCTGTTTTACAGCCTGTTTGGACAGACCTGTGAGCAGGCCATTGCAGTAGTCTAACCTACTGGAGACAAATGCATGGATAAGAATCTCCAGGTCTGCTTTAGACACTATACTCTGCACAGATGTTTCTGTACACTATGCCAGCCACTTGGTTATGGCGTTCCATGTAGGCCTTCCCTGCCAGCATCTTGCACCCTGCAGTTATGTGTTGGATCGTCTCAGGTGCCTCTTTGCACAACCGACACCTTGGGTCTTGTCTGGTGTGGTATATCTGGGCCTCTATCGCTCTGGTGCTCATGGGCCTGCTCCTGTGCAGCCATGATGAGTGCCTCTGTGCTGTCCTGCCATATATATATATATATATATATATATATATATATGTATATAATACCCTCAACAATACTTACATGGGTTATAGTCTCGTTCTTACTCACACAGCAATATATAATTTAACACAAGGAAAAGCCCCTAAAGAAGTTCCATGACCATATGGACCCGGTTTATTAATACATGAGTGATTCAAGCAGTGTTATAATATTGTTTAAGTACACTCGATAAACACTGGAAATTCAGTTTAGTGAAACAAGCTCTTTCTGAAATAAAAGCCATAAAACCTGTAATTTAATACATGTCAAAATTCAAGGCCATACTGGTGTCTCCATGTTTCATCCCCTCTACAACAATAAAGTTTCACAGTGTATCTTTAACAGCAAATGC